CTCCAGGCCCTAAACGATTCTAATTCAATTCCTGCTGAGGACAAGGGACGCTTTAAAGCTGTGATAACTAACAACTTTGTTTCTTCTGACGAGTCGATGTCAGAAGCTGAAGACTCCCATCACAGTAGTGATAGTGAGGATGAGGCTCCCCGTGCCCCAAAAAGGGCAAAAACCTTGATCCACAAGAGACTTCCCTGGAGGAGCCAGGAGCTTAATGCTCTGATGAAGCGACTTGACCGACGAATTGCTAAGAAGAGAAGTCAGAGGGGTGCTTCCATGGTAATTCACAGAAGGGAGGGTCCACCCTCTGATAGATTACAACCTATTGATGCCCCAGCTTGGGCTTTAGCTGAAGAAGCATAATTGCTTCTATTTGAAAAAAAATGTTTTAGAACAGTGTATTTAATCCTACAATAGATTTTGTAAATACTTATTGAATTTATCTGATAATGTTCCTGTTTCCAAAAGAGTAATTATTGAGTTTTTGGTAATTGTATATATAAGAGAATTATGCAAGAGAATTTCCTACTTTTCATATGTTTCATGCTTTAGTCGAACAATCATGATTGTTATTGCTGTTTTTATACAATTTTTGAGAGAATTTTAAATTACATGATATAGTAAAAATGCACATCCATCCACATCTAGCTTATGATTAGAGTAGGAGAGCTTCAGACATTAARCATTAAAAAAACCCAGATTTTTTGCACATTAGGGCATGTGTATTATACATGTAGCTAATTKTTATGGTTAACAAAAATGTTGAATGTAAAGTTTGTATAAAGAAAATGCATTATGCTATGTAACAAGGGAGCCATTTAACAARTAAACAGGTTTTTTTAATGTATGTAGAAGCTCTCCCAAATCTAATTATTACATTTATAATTCATGATTCCTAGTAATAAGTTAAAATAATTATTGAACATTAATATAGAATTTTGTCCTTATAGTAAGACAAGTATATCTTTCAATATACTTTACACAGTCTAAAGAACTGTTACAAAGATAATTTGGTTGATAGCTCTTTAGTGATTTTTATCATGTTAACTGTTATAATATGTATTCAATTTTTGAGATACAAATTAAACATTTTATAACTATACATGGCTTATTCCAGTTTYAGTTTGATATGGGTTCAGTGCCTGAATATTTTGATGAGAATACAAAATTTATTAATTTTGTTTTTGGGAATAATTTGGTGTGAACATTACTTTTACCTTTTAAAAAAGCGTAGCAAATGTTTTGCAAATTCTATAATATCTACACGTCTTTTGATTTGATGTGAAAACAAAGAAAATGTCATATTTGCATACTGGAACTATGTGATGTGAAAGTGATGGGAATATTGATATTTAGCATGCCAAGAAAATTTGATGTAAATTTRAAGTGAATTTGATGTTGACCACACTTTAGCAAGTATGGAGAATCTGATGTTAATATAAACATTCACATTAAATTCACTTTAAGAGTGAACGTAATGAAAATGTGGTATTCAACCACTTTGCTTCATGGAGTGAATATGTTGTGAAGATCATAATTACTCTCGTGCAAATATGTGCAAACATGAGAAAATATGGTATTTGCTTCACATTTGCTACATATTCA